AGAACTACCTATGGTGTGTTTTTCAAACACAGGTTCATAACAAATAAGTAGTATTTTCTTCTTCTGAATAAAGACATTTTGAAGATAACCCAGCAGTTACCTAGGATGGCTTATAGCCCACAATGACAGGGAACCAGACACTGGCTATAACTGTTGCATTTTGCTTTCACTTCCATGTGCTCTTCTTTTCTGTTTTTCTTTGTTAACTAATTCAACATAGGCTATGTAAAGACTTCAGTGGTGTGAGTGAAGGGTCCTGGTGTCTGGCATTTCATTTAGTTTCAACCCCTTCTCTGAACATTCTCTTGGATTTATTGCTCTAATACATGACTTCTCAACTGGGACAAAACTGGTTCTCTTTTATGCATAAAGCATAGGTCTGTCCTATTAAATTTTCATGGGGACAATCAGACAAATGCCTCTAAGACTCTGTAGGGTGGCAGTAATGAAAAACAAGCTGTTAAACCCTCCTGTAACTGAAATCTGTCCATTGTCGTTCTGTTAGGCAAGAACTCCACCACTGTCTTATATTCCCAGCCCAAGATCTTTGTGTTCTAGCAAGTAGTGTCTCTTTAAGTATCTGTCAGTGAACAAATTGTCCTCAAGCTAATCACTTATTTGAAACTTTCTTTCTGAGATTCCTAAAGTAATTCTTTCTAAAACTTCCCTCTGCTTTAAAATGGCTTTAAACCAGGAGCCCCATGGCTGTGATAGCTACTGGTGGCTACTATGGTCAATCCTGCTATAAACACCCATGAATAAATTTTGTGTGTGAGCGCATTTTCATTTTCAAAAGGGTTGTGTGGACAAGCAGTTTGCTTATCTACTGGCAGATTTTCTGTCTTATCTTTAACATTTGAAAACCTCTGACTGTTTGCCAAAGTCACTGAGGCATTCTACAGATTCTCACCAATAATATAAGAAGGTTTCATTTTCTTCCTAACTTGCTCAGTGTTGGTTTTGTCTTTTTATTACAGTCATCCCAGTGGGCAAGAAATGATACCTCATTATGGTTGATTTGTATTTCCCTTATGGCTAATAATAGTGAATACTTTTCATATGCTTACTCTATTAGAGAAATATTCCTGTATACCCTTTGCCCAGATTTTAATTGGGTTATTTGATCTTTTGTATCAAGTTGTAGGGAATACTTACATATTGTAGATGCAAGTCCCTTATCGGATGCACAGCTTGTAATTATTTGCTAGCCTACCACGTGATCCGATGTCTTTTCGTAACAGTGCCATGTGAAGCATAGACGTTTTAATTTAATAAAGTCTGACTTATCTATTTTTCCCCTTGTTATTCATGTTTTTGGTATCAAAGCAAAGATGCTAGTGTTTGACCCATGCAACATACCCCTGTCTATGAAGTGGTATAGGTTTTGATCCACTTTGAGTTAATTCTTTCATGTGGAATGAGGTGAGGTTCCAACTCCATTCTCTTTCATGCAGATATCCTATTATCCCAACAGCATTTATTGAAAAGACTACAGAAATGCTTTTTCACTTTAGTAAAAAACCTATTGATTACAGATGTATGTGCTATTTCTGGAGTCTCAATTTTATACCATTAACTTATTTGTCTATTTTTATACAAGTACCAGACTATTTTGTAAGTTTTAAACTTTGGAAGCAAAATTTCTCCAACTATGATTCTTGTTTCAAGACTGTCTTGACTATAACTATGCTTTTTTTTTGTTTCAAGATTATCTTGATTATTCTGTGTCTTTTAAATTTTCATGTCTTTTTCTATCAATTCATAAATATCTGAAAAGAAACCAGCTGAGATTTGACCAGCATTGCAGTCAATTTGTAGATCAGTTCAAGGATTTTCATATGACAGCAACATCAAGTTCATGAATATAGGAAATCTTTTCATTTATTGAAATTTTCCTTGCTATTAAAAAATGTAGTTTTCAGAGTTTATGTTTTAAAGTTCTTTTAGCGGACATATTCTAAAATATTTTATTATTCTTAGTGCTTGTGGTGGTTTGAAAGAAAATGGCCCCCACTGGGGTAGCAATACTAGGAGGTGTGGCCTTTTTAAAGTAGGTGTGGCTTTGTTGGAGGAAGTGTGTCACTGTAGGTGAAGGCTTTGAGGTCTATTTTGGTCAAACTATGCTTAGTGTGACACTCAGTTCACTTCCTGTTTCCTTAGAATCAAAATGTAGCCAGTACCATGTCTGTCTGCATGCTCCCTACCATAATGGTAATGAACTGAACTTCTGAAACCGTAACCCTTATTTAAATGTTTTTCCTCATAAGAGTTACTGTGGTCATTGTGTCCCTTCACAGCAATAGAAACGCTTAACTAAGACCGTACTACTTTGAAAGACAATGTTTCATGATTTTCATTTTTATTCCCTTCAGTACTTATGTAGAGATGCCATTGGTCATTGCACATTGAATATGATATTGTAACTTTGTGGGACTTGCCTATTAATTCTAATAGACTTTTTTGTGGATTCATGTGCTTTTTCAATATATGCTCTTTAAGGTTTAGATAGAGGATCATGTTATATTCAAATAAGAGATAACTTTACTTCTTTCTTCCTGGTCAGAATACCTTCTACTTTTCTTGTTAATTGCTCCACCTGTAGCGTCTACTATTATTGGCAGTGATGAAGGAAAACGTTTTTGTTGTTGCTGTTGTTTTTGATCCTGGTTTTGGGGGTGGGAAAACTTGCAGTCTTTCACTATTAACTTTCACTGTTAGGTTGCACCTCACCCCTATGTTTAATCAGGTTGAGAAATTTGTATTTATTTCTAGTTTATAAAGTACTTTTTAAAATGAGGAAGTAGTGCTGCATTTTGTCAAATATCTTTTATTCATCTCTCAAAATGATTTTGTTTCATTGTTATGTTGAGCTATATTAATTTCCCCCCCAGTCTTGGGGATTGAACTCAGGGTCTTGTTCTAGATAATATTCTTTGTACTGAACTCCATCTCAAGCCCTAGAGTTTCAGGTGTTAACCCACACTCCTAGTCCTATGAGAAATCACAGTTATGGTGTGTGATACTTCTTATGACTGAATGATGATATGTTATTGAGAATCTTGTGTTTACATTCCTGAGACACTGGTCTGTACTCTTCTTGTGATGACCTTGCCTGATTATAGAATCAGGGTAACACAGACTCGATAAAATGACACCGGTATTTCTTCTTCAATTTCCTGAAAGAGCTTGTGTGAATTCTTTAAGTGTCTGGTAAAGCTTACTATTGAAGGCACCTCCACTTTCCCTTTTTCTTAGCATTCTCTTGTTACTAAATCAACTTCTTAGTTGTTGTAACTCCAGTCAGATTTTCTATTTCCTTTTTAGTACTTCTAGAAATTTCTCATTTTTTTTTTAGCCTGAATTACCTGTTTTGGCATAGTTGTTTATTCTAATACCTATAAATGCTTTATTTCTATAAGATTTCATAGTAGTAATAAAATAACCATGCCATTTCTCTCAAATTTGATAATTTGCCTCTTCTCTTTCATTGGTTAGTCTAGATAAATGTATGTCAAAAATGTTGCTCTTTTCAAAGACCAGCATCAAGTTTTATTATTTCTGTTGTTTTCCTATTCTTTATTTCCTTGGTGTCTTCTCTAAGTTGGTTTCCTTCTCCTCTCTCTCCCCTTCTCTTTCTCCTTCTTCCTCTTCCTCTCTGTCTCTCTCTCCTCCTTTCCTCCCTCCCTCCCTCCCTCTCTGCCTCCCTCCTTCCCTCCTTCCCCTCCTCTTTCCCTTTTCCTTTGAGTTTAGGTTTTTTTCTCTCTCTATGGTGTCTTCAAGTAGAAGTTTAAATTATTGATTTGAAATCTACTTTCACAGGGTAACTTTCCCTCTCTGCACTGCTTATCTATGTCACAAACATTTTGGTGTGAGTCCCTTAGTTTTCCCTCATCTCAAAGTATTTCTATGTGATTTTCTATGAACTTTCCTGTGTGGTTTCTCCTTGATCTATTTATTATGTAAGCGTGTCTTTAATTTTACACACATTGTGAATTTTTCATGCATCTCTGTTATTGACTTCTGATTCCACAATAAAATAGTTGGAGAGCATTCTTATGTGTTGTTGATTCTTATTTTTAAAATGTTGAGGCTTGCCCATTGCCTTTGTATGTAGTCTATTCTAGAGTGGTGCCAACTGTAAAAATTACAGCCTAATGCCATACTACCAAATGTTGGAAACCCTTCCCCCTAACACAAAAACTTGAGATTCTAAAATCTCCAAAGTTAAAGTATTCGAAAGGCTAAATCATTATCCCTAAAACTTGAAGTTCTGAATGTTGAAATCCTGAGACAGCAGCTCCAATTATAGGAATGAAAGGTCATGTGAGAGTGACAGAAAGCCAAATCCTCAGAAGGGATTAAAGTGCTTCTGGTTGTGTGCCACAGGGTTACATCGTATCAGGTGACCAAATACCTAGAAACTAGGTAAAGTAGTATTTGGGATGTGTTTTTGAGAGTGTTTCCAAAAGAGATTATGGTATGAGCCTGAGTGGATGAGGCACACATCTGCCATGTTCAAGATGTGAATGGCATCTAAAGGAAAGGAGTGACCATTCAGCATGACCTGAAACTTGAAGTCACCCTTAATGACAGACATTTAACCAGCTCTCTGGACTCCTCTCATGCAGTTGCCTACCTTCTTCTGCAAAATGCCCCTTCTGTGTTCATTTTTTTCCCTCAGTTTGTCTTTAGACTTTTACCATTTAATTTCCTGGCTTTATTAGTTTACTTGTTTTTCTGTTTGCTTCAGTAGAATTGGGAATTGAACTCAGGGCCTCACACATGCTAGGCAGGTACTTCCTTAGCCCTTCCTGCATTATTTTAAATCCTCAGTATTATGATTTATAGTGTTCTATACTGTAGGGGAAGCTGTAGCCATGCCTACTTAGGGGCTGGCTACAGGTGTGCCTGACCACGCCCTCACAAGCTTGCAAGGGCGTGGTCAGGGGATGTAGGGTGACTTCGTTTTCGCTTTCGGTTTCTCTTTTGGACTTGCTGTACAGACTGCTGCCATGCCGGCTGGCTAGGTCACTCTGTAAGTAAGGCTTTTCCCTATTAAATACCCTTATATTTCTACCTGACTCCGTATTCGTAATTTCCCACTATACTATACCACATATTTCATCTTTTTGTTATTTTCAATACTAAAGATGAAAATTTTATATAGACTTCTAAAAACTTATAATTCACTTCATGCATTATTTACAAGTTTGACTCAGCAAAAGTGCATTGCCACTTGATATTGCCATTGTCAAGTCATAGGAAGGCCCATAATAAATGACAAGGTGCCCTTTCTGTACATCTCCATACACAGAATATACACTTTCTCAAGGTCCTGGCTCTTTGGGTGACTACATAGGCAATGGTAACTTGTGATTTTCATTCACCTTTTTAAAATTGAAAATAACTGGGATGGAGAGATGGCTCAGCCATTAAAGGCTAGGCTCACAAAAAAAATTGAAAATAATTTTTCATATTGTGATTTTTAAAAACTGTATTATGAAAATAATTAGAATTCTGTCATTGAATTTTGATGATGGCAGTTATAATGACACATGCATTCAATTACTAACCACTTGTATGTATACATGTAAACATTTAGCTTTTTTATGGAATATAATATAGCTTGTTCAAAACTATCATAGCTGTTATAGGTATATCTGTTTATATTTGTAAAATGTTATTTCCTATTTTATTGTGTGAAGTAGTCTACAAAGGATTAAGCTTTTCAAATGTATACTATTAAAAGCAAAGTGTGTGTGTGTGTGGTTGTGTGTGTGTGTGTGTGTGTGTGTGTGTGTGTGTGTGTGTGTGTGTTTTGCTAGGGATCAAACCTAGTGCCTAGTATATGCTAGGCAAGCAAACATTTAACCACTGACCTATATTTCTATCTCTAATTAGGTGTCTTTCAAAAAATTGCTTCAAGTTATTTTTCTATAATTATTGTTTTTCAGATTTTGACTGAATTTTAAAACTTAGGAATTTTGATCAGTTTATATTTCAGTATTTTGAGTTGTGGTCTTTTGTTGGTTTCTGTACAGTGCTTGGGATTAAAGTCAGTGTCTTATATATGCTAGGCAGAGACTCTATGATTGAGTTACACCCTCAGTGAATTAAATTCTATGGGATTGAGTCTTTCAGGATTGTGGTCCAAGCTCATCACAAGTGCTGTGTGCATTTGTGAAAACATATTTTAGCATGGGATAGTGCTGCTGTTGGGTGCCCCATAGGATCTACTAGGAAAAGTTAATTTGTAGCTTTGTTGAAATGTTGTATTTCCTTGGAAATTTTCTTTTCTTTTTTTTGCACATTTTTTTTATTTGAATTAGAAACAAGATTGTTTTACATGACAATCCCAGTTCCCTCTCCCTTCCCTCCTCCCCTACCAACCCCTCCCCACAACAACTAGAACCCTACCTATCACATATCCTTTCTGCTCCCCCTGGATGGTAAGGCCTTCCATAGGGTGTCATTAGAGTCTATTGTATCCTTGGAAATTTTCTTGCAGTGTCTTTTAATCCATTATTGAAAGTAGAATGTTTAAATCTCTAGCTATGCTTTCTCTGCTCAGCTCCTGCCACATGTTGACTGGGGTTGGGGGAGGGTGGGGTGGCCTGGGGTTGGTATATATTTATTTGTAGTTAGTTTCTTAATTATTTGACCCTTTTTACAAAATAAAATTTCTCCCCAGTATCTGGAAACATATTTTGTGTTAGTTTGTTTCTTCTGACATTAGTATATTACTCCATATTTCTATTTATTTGTATATTTAAAAACATATCTATATATTTACCGTCAGTGCAGTAAATCTTTTATGTCTTTTAAATTTGAATCTGATTTATGTCCTGCAAACAATTAAACCTTTTCTTAATCCAGATTGATAGGCTCTGCCTTCTGGTTTGGCTTTTGGTTCCATTCATATGGACTTTTGCTTTTTCTATAATTGAATATACTTTTGCTGTCTTAGATTTCTGTTTTCTGTTTGTCTTATCTATTTGTTGTTCATCTACTCCTCCTTTATTAATCTCCTTGTCATTATTAATGTAATGTTTTAATTACTTTAACAATTCTTTTAAAATGTGTTTTGAGTTCTTCTCTTGGTGTTGCTCTGGGGGTTGTCATATGCAACTTCACCTCCCCTGCCCCCTGGTTCTTTCCTCAACTGAGCTTCCCTGTCCACCCTGCTAATGAAGGATCCATCAAAGAAACAGATTTCCAGTCTTCATTCTATTCAGCTAGTATTTCATCTTGTTAATTACTCCATTTTGAACTTTATTCAGGTTTCCAAGACAGTGTTCCCTCATGCTCTCCCCTTACACAATGCAGTACTCTTATTTCTGTCTTCCATCAAAGTTCCTTCTCATTTTCCAGATAGCAGGATACAGCAAAGGCTCCGCCCTTGGCCTGCTTCTCTTGTCTTCTGTCATTACTCATCAGTTACTCTAGTTCACACAATGCTATAAGTCTTACTCACTCTGAACTTGAAACTCCATAGAGAGTCTGCCTTCTTAGCATCCCCACTTTTGATGCTTAGTAGACATCTTCATTTTGCTATGTTCAGAAATAAGCTGCCATGCCTGCCATGGCCTCTTAACACAATAAATACAGGTCCATTTTATTCTGGATGTTAAGTCTAAAACTCCTCAGAGGACTTCTGACTCAGTCCTTTCTCTCTCACCCTCCTCACCCAGTGTATCACAGGCCTTGTCCGCTGTCTGCTTTCAGATTTATCTACAACTTAAACACTTCCTCAGTTACCACTGCTCTTTTTAAAAGCCAGTGCGCTCAGTCTGGACTCCTGCAATTACCACCATTCCTTGCTTCCTGCTACAGTGTATTTTCAGAACAGCCAGGCTGATGCTTTTGAGAAAGTCGAATTATTTAGCTCCTCCTGAATGTCACCACTGCTCATCTAGAATAAAATTAACAGTCTTTGCCACCCATTACTATATCCTATATAATCCATAATGTGGTTAGCTATTGTGGTATGACAAGCTAGACCAATATACTGGAATCAGACAAACAATAAAAATTCATTCTCTCTAGACTTTCTTTGAGTTAGGAAATTAAAATATAATCAACATATGAGATAGCTCCAGCTTGGGGCTATAGACACCAGAGGGTTTGGGCAAGGTTGGACCACCCCCTTCTAAGGATGCTCACACTTGGTGTGTGAGTGCTACTCTCTCTCTCTCTCTCTCTCTCTGTCTGTCTCTCAACTGTTTGGGTATCTTCACAATGTAGTATCTGGATTTCTCTATAATATGAATGATACTTCAAGAGATTAGGAGGGTAGAGCTGTCTTTTTCAGTAATCTAATATTGGAATTCACGTAGCAGCCCATTGTCATGTTCACAACTGAAGTTTTTAAATCTGGCCCACATTTTAGGGGGGTGAGATAGGCTTCTACTTTTGAAAGGAAGGTTGCTGTGAAACGTACAGATGTAAAACCACCATAACATCTTCCTCAGATATTTCTCTGGTCTCATTTTTTTTTTTCAATTTCCTCATTCCATGCTTAACTACACCATTTTTACCTTTACTATTCCTAAGACATGACAGGCATGTCCCGACCTCAGGGCTCACTCTGCCTGGAAGGGCTTTCCTGCTGACAGTCACATAGCTCTGTCACATCTCATATCCTTGCTCAAAGGTCACCTCACTTCAGAGAACTTTCTTGTGCACGTAGTTACAATAGCACATTCCCTTTCGCCTCTCTGCCTGCTTTCTGTACCTTCCCTTCTTCATAGTTTGTATCACCATATGGCAAGGGCTACAACTTTTATTGAATTATTACCTTCTTCCTTAAATACATCTCCTGAAAAGTACACAAGAGCAGGGATTTGGTATGTTTAGCTCACATCTGTAACCCCAGTCTTGAGTATCCCCCTTTCACACTATCAGTTCTTAGTACCATTTTTTTACATGAATGAAAACATTGATCTACCCTGTTCATAATTTCCTTCAGGGAGTGGGTATCTACATATATGTACAGCGAACATACATGTAGAGGAATCAGATATGTTCCGGAAAGCAGTTGAGAAGTAGTGACCATTAGGTGAATTTGCTACCAACTTCTTTCTTGAATTTGGATGTTCTCTCTCCTCTTATATATGTTTCAATAGCAGTTTACCCAGAATTATAGTTGCAGGCCTTTGAATAACTTCTCAAAATGTAATTTTGCTTCTTCATTCAATTTATTATTAGCAATTTATATATTCTCCCAAGGCTTTTGGGACTGATGTTAAATTGTAATATCAAAACAGCTACATCAACAGGCCTATTAAGTGTTCATAAAGCTTTTGTGACTGCAAATTTCTTCTTCCCACAATCTTTCCTTGATGAGTATGCTATGAGCAATGCTTTGATAGATCAGGTAAAGTAATTGTCTCCCCTAAATTTAAAAGCATTGTAGATCTAGGTCCAGTTAATTACACTGTGATCCCATGAATCTGTTACAACTTGCTTAATATTTTTTTGGCTGGTGCAACCCTATTACATGGTTATTTATAAATTTGGTATTATTTTTAAGTTTATTTATTTTTATTCCATGTGCATTAAATATCTTGTCTGCAAATATGTCTGAGAGTGTCAGATCCCCTGCAAATGGAGCCACAGATAGCCGTGAGCTGCCATGTGGGTACTGGGAATTGAACATGAGTCCTCTGGGAGCTCAGCCAGTGCTCCTACCTGCTGAGCCATGTCTCCAGCTCCCTGAATTTGATACTCTTAATGTGTGCCTTCCTTAAAGTAGTACCATTCTGCTTCTTTTGAGAAACTTTAAAGACTTGTGCTTGGCCTCAATGGCAACTCACGAGGCATTTCTATTCTCTAGCTGCCTCTCAGAATAGTCTTGTCAAGAGGCATCACTCCACTATATGAAACATTGGGAGCTTTGTTTCTTAATTCTTCGGTGATATTATAATCTTAGAGCATCTTTCTATAGCATGGCTCTTTTTCTGTGTTACACAAAATTATCTTTTTTGATAAAAACTTGTGTGTCAAGTTAAATGCTTTTGAGATTAACATATTATC